AGAAGTACTATGATAGTGGGAGAAGTATGGGTGGAACCAGTACCAGATTCGGGATAACCTTGGCGGAAAGGGGCGGTTATGGGTTACAGGGGTGAAAGGATAGGGAACAATTTCATTAGACGGAATCGGGTGCAAAAAAGGAGGGAACATAATGGACGGACTCCGTAAAGTGAGGATAGGCAGCAGCAACAAGAACGATTACCTGCAACCTCAGCCCGAAACAGCAGGCGCAGGCGCAGCGGAAAACCGTACGGAACTTATGGTAACTTATGGTAAAAAGAAAAAGGAAGCGATGTGATAGTGGCTGAAAGCTGAGAAGTGAATCACCTGCCTCAGTGTGGTCGATCAGGTGATCGATCAAGTGGACGAGTGAGTTTTTAAAAGTGCAACTTGTTATAATTTACCTCAGACTTGTGAATAGAACGTTTATGTGCAGAGCCGGTGTGAATTCTTTCTTTTGACGCGGCCGGAAGAACCAGGCACGCAACTCAATCCACCCATCCCTCAAGAAATTTATAGTGAATATGCTCATTGGTGGAATGTTATCACCAGTGCGAAAATATGCCATCTATGATGCTTAAAACGTTTCCCTACATTCCCCACGAATTGCGTTTAACAAAGCAATTCACAGTTCATAATATAATCGGAACTGGAGAAACAACAAGCATAGATCCAAGTAGATGGTTTAGTATAGATGAATACATAGCAATTCAAACTCAATTCAACTTTTATTCGGGCCATTGGCCAAACATATTAACCCGTTACCAATATGTAATGAAAATCGCAAATAAAGGAGAATAAGAACCTGCGTGGAAATACTGGAATTTGCTAATGCTGACATGAGGGCTTTTTGCGTAGAAAGACACTTTTTTTGGCAGGTGCAGGTTCCACATCGGTGACACTGGGATTTCGTTTTATTGTCCTTCCTGGATGGTCAGTAAGTAGCGCTTTTGTTTTTGAACATTATCGGTACATTTTTCTCTTTGCTGGCATTGATGATGTTGGTCGAATGGTTGGGGCTAGTTGGAGGGATTTCAAAACAGTTGAGACCTTTTGTCTCAAGGATCCTGGCAGTACTGCTGTTCGTTCGATCTGACTGGTTGTGAGAAATCTTCCCACATTTATATTGCATCACTGGCGTTGTCTTCGTAAGAGAGGTTGTTTGCTGGATATTTGTGTTTGAGGACTACTCTCGCTCCGATGGATGAGAAATCCAGGATGTTAACGAAGACCATCAATGGCCATCATTTGATGTTGCGCTTAACAGTGAAAGCCATTGTCTTTTAGTCTATGGCATCAACCCCAACCTTGTGTGCCGTTATGATAATGCACAATATCGGGCTTTTTCTGTTCGCTTTCGTCTTAAACATCTGGTTTGTTATGCATGGCACTTACTAGTAAGACGTTCTTGTCTTTCTTACTTGGATAACTTACAAGTGTTGGTTCCAGCCTGAAAAAACATGAATAATTCAGTGGCGGAACCTCGTTTTCTTGGAAACCTTTCAGTAGAGATCTCTTATTTGTTTTAACTGTTCCAACAAGGGTGAGTTTTCTCCTGGTCATATCGTGTCATTTGGACCATTTTCCCGAAAGCATTTTTATTAACGACATTACAATCTGCGCGGCGATCCCAACACTTCTCTAGGGAGACAATGCACTATTTGCCTAGGTAAGGTGAACCGCTTAGAGGATAATTAGTGCAGGAGTCACAGGTTTAAAAGCTTTATATCCATTATCTGTCGAGTTTATTTGACATATATGCATCCATTGGCCCCAGCCTCTAAATCTCAAAACCTGCTCATCTACAGTAATACTCTCTCTAGTGTAATATTACAGTATCTGCCAAGGTCCTTATGGAATGATTCCCATACATCCTTGATGTGTACAAAAATATCTTCTTTGTGAAACGATCTTGTGTCCTTGTTATCAAAGCGCAAACGATGTAACAATTTGCTAAATCTGTGATATTTATGGTCCTGCTGACCGGTACCAGTAAGTTAGTGGAAGAGTCAAACCTCGTCTCCAGTGTAACGGTTGTCGTGTTGAAGACGTAAAACTAAAATCAACTCAAAATTTGTGCTTCTTTTTCATTCTTTGTAGAGGTGGTTCTTGACTACCTATGGACATCACAATGATCTCATAACTATTCGGTCTGATATGTCGTATATGAATGCTTTCCCGCGTCTTACCTATTGCTTGCTACAAATACAGTCTGTTGCTGATGTCAAAATGTGATGGTCAAACTTGTTGCTTACCGTTGCAAGGATTTCAAAATGGTTGAAGAGCATGGTATAAGTTGAAACATGGGAGATCATTGCACATCACATTTGTTTTTGATCAAATAAAGCTGGTGGATGGTGCCAAGTTGTTACAAGGAAGTAGCTATACATATGGGTGTTACACATCCAGTTAATGGGAATAGGCACACACACACACACACACACATTTTCACTGTATTTTAAATGTACGTGTGTTATACCTAGTTGGTGGGATAAAGTATGATGTAAGCTGGTGGGGAATGGGTTAAGGAGGATTCCCACTTTGTCTTACGTTCAAATTACTAGGGCGGCAGCCGTAGCATCGACCCAAGGGAGCTATTCAGCTCACACTTAGGCGTGAATTAAGCGAGAGTGAGGTCACTGATCATGATTGGGCGAAATAAACAATGGCTGGCCATGCCTGAGTGCGTGTATGTCATTCTAAAAATAATTACATGGTTTGGAGTGTCGGCTAACGAGACAGGACTACGGGGTTTCATTCAAGCATGAAAAATTAGACAAATGAAATAAACCGCAATGCGCCGTCGAGACAGTTGCCAATACATGAACAGCGGGACTAAATGTCAAGGGGAACATAGAACACGAGACTTGTAAAGCCTTAGGTACTAGTGAGTAACGGAAAATTTTAAGAGTATGACCGATGGAAGATTGTGTTGGCGGGCTTCAGGTGCTTGATTGTGCGGTGTTGAATACCGAGTGCTTACCTACGCGTCTTCGGCTATGAGATAAGCATGCGCTCTAGCCTAATGCACATATAGAATGAGATAGACAATTTGATGGATTAAGAAAAGGAGTGTAGGTAAATCACGGGAGCCAGAAAGGACAAGTTAAGAATTCCAATTTGTCAAGTCGTCTCAATCAAGCTCAGGTTGGCAGCATTTTGTGTTTGGGCTGAATCCAATTCCAACGATATTTTCTAGATGCTTCACGAAATCCTTGCAGATAATATGGACAAAGTGTTGGCACAATGTATACAGCTCAAACTGTCAATGTTTGCTATTTGTGAAGTACGGCTTCTTTCATGTCTAGCCAGTTGTCTCAAAATAATAGAATTCGCACCATTCAGAGATGAATATTCCATTGTGGGAATTGTGACAAAAAGGAGTCGGAATACAGACTGAGAACAATTCGTGCAGTCGCTGAGAGCCACCACTATCCTTTGTTGTTTGGGAATGCACATGGCTGTGGAACAAGAATGTCGAGTTACGTAACAGTTATTCATTAGGTCGCGGTGGCTACCGCTCAGCCCTGTGGCCCAGTGATCTTAACCACGGTATCGAAAGTGAAAGAACAAGAGTTCTAGCTCCTTACTTGGAAGATGGAATGTGCACTAACGGCTAGTCCTGATGTGACGACCCAAGTGTCTAGTGACTTTTGTTATATGCAATGGCGGTCTCGCTAAAGCAATGTGGCGAAATTTCCTAGAACTGGATGCATTTGTTAAAGGAAATGTATCAATCGCTCAACAGATAGTTGTAAAGTGAAAGATGAAAGACCAAGGGGTTAAATACAAGGTGATTCAATTATGCGCTATCAAGTGAAAAACCCGCACAACAAAACTGATCAATCTGCTTCAAGTAAACGCAGTTGTGAGAAAATATGGGAACACCACTGTTGTAGAGTTCGGTCCTTCAGGAACAAACGGTCCATTCAGCAGGGAGCAATCTAAGCGAAGGTGACGACATAACTAGCCTGTAGAAAGCCTCGATGTATATAACTAGGCTGCTTCCATAACCAACAACGCTTCTACATTAATAAGATTCTTCCTTCGATTCAGTCAGACAAACTCACTACAACAGCCAAATAGTAACCAGTAAGCGTAGATGTAGAGATGCATAGAAATCCAATAAACGCTTCTCTATTCGTTTGCAGAAGTCTACCAGCTTGCTTCCTCTCGTAAATCGATCTTGTCCATCTGAATGTATACTCCCAGCACAACCCCCCAATCTAGACAGTAACACAGGCCTTACTACCGGTTTGTACATCATCATTGGCTGACAGGTGGGTATTCAAAGATTGCGCATTGACAGAAGCGCCTACTACACCAACGACAAGTGAAGGGAGTTCATCTGCAATGTTAGATAAGTCACATCAGAAAGTATTCTCTGTCACTCTCCCGGAGCAATAATTTTCACTAAAAATTAGAGTGAATTCGGTCATTTTCTACAGTTAAACATCACATGTGAGTAAAAACATGGGTACACTGAGAAGCGTGTAGAAGATACATAAAGTGTCCGCGGTTAAAACTGTAACCGCTTTCTAGATACTGTTCGACTTAGTGTGCTGTTTCATACACAATGCGGCTAAAGGACGCAGCTAACGAAGCAGCATGATGACAAGCAAATGTTCCATTTTGGAATCCGAACGGGGACACAGTGCACAAATAGGTCATGCAATCCAGAATCAAGGTGGGTAGACTAAAGCCCAACAATGAACTTCTAACTTCTATGTCAAGTACTGATCTTAGAGTTCAGCAGCCTCGTGATAATGTCAGTCGTGGACCACTTGATTACACTCTCAGCCCTATCTATCTCCACCTGAGAAGTCCGATCGAGGACGAAACAGGTCTGGAGTGCAGCAACACCGACATTCTCCGTCATCAGAACTTCAGGATAATCCCGCATCATTGCAGCTCAGAAACCTAGCTCAGACGTGTACATTCAAACCGAACACACCCAAACGTGTGACGCAGAGACAATATGTCAAAGGTGTGCTACATACCAGGATGGTGCGGAAGTAATTTTGGACCAGCGTGCTGAAAATTGGCCCATTCTCTTCATCCACAAGAACAGGACACTCTTTGAGCATATCGTATCCGTCTTTACCGCTCGCCATATATGTTTTCACACACAAACGGTAGTTTTTATCCAAGTGGAGTGGTTCGCCTTGAATAGTGACCTTTGGCAAGGGTATGCGACTGCCAACAGGTCGCGATGGATCGAAACTGAATCGGACGCCAGACACGCAAGGAAATCGACCTGTTCCAAAATAATAACGTATGGTTAGACGCAAGAGTAATTTGTCGATGCTGATTCGTGGACAAAGGATGAAATATGCAAGTGAGATGAGCACAATCTTTACATGATGGTAGCTATTTAGTGAAATGGTGTCCCTCACCCTTTAAGTTTGGTGTAGTTGGTGAAATTTGACAAAAACCATATAATTTGTTCATCAAAAAGTTATAGTACGTCATTAGTTGAGACGTTACTGAATCTTCTGGCGTTTTGCCCCTCCCCACTACATTACAAACCCTTATGGCTGCAAAAATGTCAGCTTCTATCCGTTTAAGCCACAATGTAGCCTGACATTTTTAGGGTCTCAACTAGAAACTTAAAGATCAGCCGTTATTTTTCAATGAGACCACCACAAACCGTCCAGGTATCTGGTTCCACAGGCATAAGGCTGCTGGCTGCTTCAATGCGTTGTGTACATCGAAGGTTGTTTGACATCGAATCTAGTGAAGCGGAGTGGAGTTGGAATGACTGCAATAATATGCCCGCTATGAATATTCGCTCTCAACAAAGTCCCACAGGTCGTTAATATCTGAGAAAAATAGCAGCTCACATGTAATACAGGATAATGCGACCGCACTTATTCACTATTGGTTTACAGCGCCTAGGCTGCAAAGAGGCTTTCTTTTTCGTAATCACATTTGTCTCGTTATCGATTTGGCTCCGACGCAAAGCATAATTGGTGATAGGTCACGAAGACCAAGTTGATATTATTTGGCACAAAAATAAGTTGCGCATTTGACGGAACAGTAAATTCGTTTTGGTAAAGTGTGGGGGAAGGTAATGTAATCATCAGGGACAACGTCCGGACGTGTTTCTTCAACGACTGTCAAGAGTGCACTAACAGGGGAAGCGTACTGATATGCGACCGAAAGACTATGCAGCCAGTTCATGCAGATAGAGAACGCTTTCTCGACAAGGTCGACATAATCGCTTAGCTATATGCCGGAATTCGCGCTGGTGAAACGTTCACCCTGTGTATTTGTTGTAACTATATGGCCTCATAAAGACACTATTATCTTTGTACATATGATACTAAGAGCTAATCGGTTAAGGGTTCAAGGAGACAATGCGGGCATAAATGTAAGTGTTTGGCAAACCCCTTAGAATACTCGAGATGAGGGCCAAAAAGTGGCAAAAGAGAACATTACTGCTACAGGAACAACCTCTTGGTAGACTTACACGCATACACAGACACGAAAACATAGGTAAGGGATCGCGACTGTATGAGGAATGCCGATGAGCGCAACTTTTGTTCTGTTATTTTGTCTGCCGTTAGATATATTTCGGAATATGAATGCGTTGGAGCAAAGTCAAGACCTCTTTTACACCAGGATAATGTGTGTGCCTGCGCTCAGGAGGAGACAATCCTGGATGATATTCTGGCCAGCTATAGTGGGTGACCGATTAGAGCTGGTTACCTAAAAGCTTAGTGTAGTGAATAGGTTAGGAAAGATAGCAGTAAACGTGTTTGCGGTTCTTGAAGATCCGACAGACTATCGTAACATCACGCCGTAAGCACCGACACAGACGGTTGTACAACCTTAGGACCTGGCTTGCGACTGGGTGCCGAAAGCTGACCAACTCATTCATCGCCACACATCTTGCCGACACAGACCATTCCCCCAATCTAGCCAAGGCACTTAAGGTCATCTATCGACCACCTGAAAATCGATCAAAGTGCGTTCGAATCGGCGGAGTTTAGCGATCAGACTATACGAGCCGGAACTGTGTGTCCAGAAAAGATTCACTCAAACGCTGTGCTTGACTTGGCCCAGACGAACTGCTCCGTCCAAACCAAGGATTTGTGCACGTGATACAACTGTATCCTAGGGGGCAGTGATTGACAGTGACCAGCGACTGAACTGATTGCTATACCGGTCCTTGTGCTGTGTCTATATTTTGTTCTTTTTTACATATAATTGTACAAGCCTGAAGAGGAATTATCGAAAACATATGTTCGCTTGAAAACATTGAGTTTTAACCTTAGGACCATCAGCCGAACCTGATATAAAAGGTGGAACAATCCCTTGACTTGATTGATTTCTGTTTGTTGTGGCTTCTCGGGCGCGAGTAGACCTTGTTTCCTACATGGTTCGTAAGCCTGGACAGCGTGTTGCATACGAGGCCTCACGTGGGCGTTCAGCAACTGTGGTTGGATGGATGGATCACAGCCATAGTTCCCCCCACAGGCGATAAACGAACTTGTTTTCTGTTTTCGACAAATACTCGGATTATTTCGACCTATTAAGACTAGAGCAGTCACGATTCTGCGACGGTCTATCTCTTTCATACCTCTTCCAACATGTGGACTTGCAGACTTCACTACCACTCTTGGGTTGCGCCGATGCTTGAAAATACGGACCGGCATCCTGGATACATTTAACGGCAGTGATGACAATTCAAACTACAATTTCCCATTTAGCCTCTGAACTGCTCGTCCGTGGTTTGGTCTGCACCAGAGAGGCAATAGAAACTCCAGGAGCAAGGGGCCACAGAAATGCTACCGAAGCTGTACTGCTCAATTTAAAGGAGGCTGATCATATTGTCGGTTATAGCATCGGTACTGTCCTTGCTTATCATACTGTCGTAGGAGATCATGAAACAAGTGGCGCCTTTCAGCTGGAAAATTTTTGCGGTAACCTCAGCTCTTCGGTCTCTCTCAATTGAGCTGTGTTGGTCCAGCAGCCCACGTGTCAACAAACAAGTTCTGTATTACATCTCGCCCAAAATTCTACCAGGTTGCGTTTGCTCGGTGCATCAGTAAATTTTCTTTTGAATTCCAAGGGGTTCACCTCTAGGAGACCTGGGTGTCTAGTGGTATGGTGAATGATACTACAGCAAGTGGGAGTTTCCGCGTCGTACATCGCAGCGGGATGTTATTCCAGTTAAGTACGATATTCTCAAAGGAACTGAACAAAATCTTGGTAGTCAGAACATCTGAACAAAGACTGAGAGCTTCCCAGGTGACAAGAGAAGGAAACGTTTGACGTGCATCACGGCCAAATCCAGAGGAAAGGAGTACCGTACTAGGCCCTAATTAGATTCAACGAACAGGCTCAAGAAAGCATAACATGGAACCACGCAGCCTAAAGCTTCCGGTGACATGGTCTATTTAGGTCCGTTGCTGGTCAGCTGAAGGATATCAGATCGTTGCTCCCTGTGCATAAAGATAACACCGCTAAAAGTCAGCCGATATTCGATAAACAGCTGAGTTTGGCCCAAACTTCCCAACTGGAGCTAGGGAATCTATCGTATGGTCGCGCAGTTTTGATGCTCCACTCTCACGGATTTACCGATTAAAATATCGGCGAACACCAATTGACACTTATTTTAGTCAAGTTTACCAGCGCTATCTATTAGATCTACGAGTACAGGATCGCTTCGCCCTATGGATGCTTCTCAGTGGCGCGCATTCCCTCGGTCCTCTGCTGGGGATCGAACCCATGACCGTTGGTAGCTCATGCCAACTAGCCAGCAGTATATGCCACTGAGCCATGGAGGACGGAGACAGACCGTCTGAACTTGCAGTAAAATATCAGCAAAGAATCATCCTACTCAGCAGTAATCTAAAACATTCGCCCTCACAGTCTTAAAATGCCAAGCGGACATAGTTCTTGTGTTGAGGAAATGGTAACCTCGAAAACCAGCCACTTTCCTTTGCAATGGTAGAAACCTGCATGGCTGTGGAGGATAGGTTGCGCTATAATAAACATAGCTCGCAAGTTCAGACGGCTTGTCACCGTCCCTTATAGCTCAGAGGCAAATGCTACTGGCTAGTTGGCGTAAGCTGCGCGCGGCCATGGGTTAGAGCCCCAGCAGGAGATCGGTAGAATGCGCACAAATGACGTGACCCAATACGGTGAAATGCTAGGCTGGTGATTTTAGGATTGGAATTAGAATAATCTGACTTTTGAGCAGCTGGCATGAACCAGTGAAATGTCATCAAGAATCGTCCTAACTCCTCAGTGAGTACATGACCCTCTTTCAAGCATCATCGTTGCACTTGCTGCTGCAATACCAGTGGCACTTTTGCCGAAACCCAGCCACACGTCAGCCTTACATTTTGTCTGTACACCATACATTTTACCCTGATTCGAGTGTGCTCTTAGCGCTACCCAACCGCCACCGTATTACAATAGGCCGACACTTTGGTAGATGCAGCTCATTTAGCAGCCAACATCTTAACACTGGTCAAGCGAAATAGATGAATTCAACTGTTACTCCAAGCTCATCAACTTTCGCCAATCTGAACTCTGGCCTAATCGATAGTTAAGAGTTCACTGCATACAACAAAACGGTCGTCAAGTTCCGACCAGTAGGACACTGTCAACTGACCTCACTCGTCTGTTCTAACACAGGCGATACACTAAACGCTGGTTGTTAACCAGCACCATCGCTCACAGCAGGGCCTTCAAAGAGGCCTTTGCTTTTCTCATTGGAGATCCGCTTTACTCTAACTACTGTGGATTTATCTAATCCATAAACCAATTGCTATTCGGTTTATCGGGACTACTTCTAGACAACGGTGTTGTCCTATTCCATCAACAATTTGAAATCTCCGCAATACTGATCCTCATCACCGTATTATTCAATATGCTCATAAAGTACTCAAAACTTATAAATGAGTTGTGTGGAAACATTCTTGTAAATTGAGAAAACACCGTGCTGGCTGGCAAGTAAGCCTTAGACGCCGCTAAGTTGACAAGACACAAATTCCACTGATTTTGTCCAGCAACATTCGATCACTCCTTGGAAAAATGACGGATCTTAACGCTTTTATACAGCAAACTGGATATTCGAATGCAGCCATTTTGATGCTTCAGGAAAGCTAGTTACATGCTGACGTAGGAGACAATGTTATTCAACCTGCTGGTTATCTTCCCATCAGATCCGACCGCCCCGGAATGCCTCAAAATGGTGGAGGTGTCATCACCTACGTCCATCAGCGCTGGTGTAAAATGTTG